ATATTCCAGCAATATCACGGCATAGGACACCAGAAATGGACAGAGGTGGACACACACGTTATTGATTTGATTTGTAAATTGACATTTTGGCATGTTCATGTTTTTTATGAAATCACGCATTTTCTGAAGTCAGTATGGCAAATTAAACCATTTGAACACTTACAGGAGTCTTTTATCTGTTGCAAACCGAAATTGTTTCAAATTTGGTGAAAACATAATTTTGCATTAAATCTTATTCAATGTCACAGGAACTTTTGTTGTTCTGTATATTATAATGGTTATTTTATAAAAGATAATTTCAAATGTTTTGGGCTACCTACAATATGGGCTTGACAGCTTGATTTTACCAGTGGCTACCTAGAAAAAAATGATAAAAATGATTTTCGCCATATGGCGACTTGGTAAAAATTTAAACTTTGAGGCTTGCAATCTGGTCTCAATGGTTTACTATGCCGTCTTTTCCTGCAGGACCAAGAAAGTCAAAAGTAATCAGCCTGTGGCTCCTTCACAAGGGAAATTAATCTTAAATGAACCATCATCCCCTGCCGTGCCAGGCAACAAGTACTCTGACTTCGTCGAACCTGTTATCGACACACCTGGCCTTATCAACCTGCCACACCCGCTTTGACAACTTCAAACACACCACTGCCACCACCCTCACGACCTTCTGGAATGGATCTTGAACCCACTCGGGAGAAAGATTGCACCCCCATGGCTTAGTGACTATATTCATGCAATTTGGGCAGAAAACTGATAAATATTATCAGAAATCAATGTGTTACATGACTTTAAAGTAAATGTCAAGTAAAGATATCTCAAAACAGTATAATACCTACTCATTTAGTCATGGCAGATTCAAACTTCTTGAACAAATTATAGTGTCAATATTGGTTGGAATAAGTGTGTGAAGTTGCAGCTTCATTGGTTCAGTGGTTTCTGAGGAGTTATTGTGCATGATCGGCCTGTCCTCATCTGGCCTACACCTCATATTGCCTACACTACTATCAAAACAAATTTATGGATGAGTGCACATCACACTTGTACCCTTATCCCTTAAGTAAAATGAACTCTTCCAACAAGATAATAAAGAATGTAAATGACTTTTGATACTGTAATTTAATTTTGTATATGAGATCATCTTCACAACTCAAATGTTTTCACAACATTAAATATCATAAATACACATGTATTATCATAGCACTGTACATTTATATCCATCATCTTCATGTTTGATAACATAAGCACTACATCATTACTAGCAAAATTACTGTAATTTGATGAAATGTCCAACTGCATCCAGAAACTGGATCACTGATCTTCCGCCAGTAGCAAGCTGCTGCTTCAGTCTCTCGATCCTTGCATCTCGGTCTCTGTCAACACGAGCACGAGGTCTCATGGCACCACCCAGTCCAATCTGCCTTCTTGACCGTCTATCTGCTGTCTCGATCTTCTTGAGTTCTTTGACAAACTGGAAGATGTTGGGATGGGCTCTCGGCATTCTCTTCTTCAGGCCATTGTGGAAACCTTCAAGATGGTTGTTGGAGCGTGGACCGGTGTTCTCGTGTTGATTCCACAGGGCTCGAGGGAACGTGGCATTGAAGTCCACCCATGTGCTGGTGACGTAGTCGTTGAACCTGGTGATCTGCTGCCCATCTGGTCCTTGCTCCATCACTTCAATCCAGGCATCTTGGACTTCAGCTAGGGGTAGAAGCGGCAACGCTGCAGCTCTTCTGATGTGGGTCTGCACTGCTGGCTTGTCAGGGTTGTCTCGGGCCAGGCCTCTGTCCACAACTTGTCTCCACAGAGCCTGGGCGTAGTGGAAAAAACATCCTCTGACGGAACTTGCTGGGAAGACATCGCTGGTGGCACTGATGACAGCTGCTTCATAGTCTGTCTGGATGATGTCTGGAGAGAGGTCTACACCAGTCCTTGCGCCAACAACATCCTTCAGCAAGGTGAACAGTCGGACATAGGTCTGCTTGGTCTTGTTTGGGAGTAGGGAAAAGGTGACTGGGAACATCTTGCCATCCACAAGGCAATGGATAGTGTACACCTGCAGCCACAAGCTAGGGCACATGAAGAATGTCCTATCCATGAAAGTAGTGTCCTGCTCACTAAGGATCTCCAACATCTCAGTTGTCGCAAACACTAACAGTCTGTCATCAGCATCATCATCTATGCACAGGAAGTCTCTTCCATCTTCAGTCTTGGTCCAGGGTTCTTGAAGGTCGAAAGCGACTCGGGATTCTGGGAGAGGTGGGATGGACTTGGAGCTGTGTTGGTAGAGAGCAGCCTGGACACTGGCAAAGGACGGCATCGTGGCAGCAACATCTTCGACAGCTCGGTCGAGTTCGGCGATATAGGTCTGCTGATCAGGGATGATGTCTGACTTTACTTGCTCCTTCATTCTGGCGATGATACGGTTGTGTTCTAAATTCTCGGTAGGTGGATGACTGTGAGGCTTGGTTGATGTAATGTGGTCGCCAATGGTGCTGCATCTGCCATTGCAGCCAATGGTGATACACTTCCAGTGAACAGCAAGTTGCCGCCTCGACATTCAACCTGTACGTTTCCCAGCATGTAGTACTTGCTGACTGCCTCTCTGTGAAGTAACGAACTCAGCTCTTTGAAGATGTGCCAAACTTAAAAACTAACATATATAACTATTCCTAAATTGGAGATGAGGTGATCCTGTTAACATTGTGAAAGCTATTTCGTTGATCAAAGTAAAGAGAAACAATAGTACTTACTAAGGTATAAAAACACTTACAAAACTTTTGAGATGAGTAGACCTGTTAAAAGTGGATTATAACAGTAATCCTGTATAAACAGTCAAAACAAACTCAAGGATCAGATACCACTATGAAAACATCGGACTAGTTCAAAGGCCCATGTACTCAGGTCATTAATTCATATTAATGAATGAAATCATTAATGGGTTAATGGACAGTACCATTCTACACAACAGGGGTGTGGAAGTAACCATTTGTATTTAGTGTAGGCCAGATGAGGTGTAGGCGATTTAAGGTGTAGGCCAGATGAGGGCAAGCCGCATGATCCACCGTTTTTACATACTACACACAAAAATTATGGGAACACCCCTAAATTTCATAGCCATGTATAAAACTTAACATGGCTTGGTCATTTATGAACTTCAGTAAATGCAACTTTTTGTGTGCACTGACGGCACTTTAAATGATGTGTTGAGTCATGCATTTTTGTAAGTGCTTCATTTTTTGAAGAATTTGGGTGCAGAAAGACTCCCTCGGCATGTCAGATTCAAACGCCAAAACACAACAACCTAGTGCACGTGAAAGTCAGAATTCCCATGCAGTTGGTGGCAACTCTTCTTTATAAAGAAGCTTCAGACACTGTGAAGTTACACATTTCCTGAAAAATGCCCCAGCGAAGACCTTTAAGCATTCACGACAGGAGTAGGGCCATAGCCTGGCTACAAGATGGTGTATCCATAGGGAATGTTGCCCGTCGTCTTCAAGTGTCACCATCTGTTATTCACAGACTGAGGGAACGGTTCCAGACAACAGGGAGAGTGCAGGACAGACTGCGTTCTGGTAAACCCAGAGTAACATCTAGGGCAGATGACTGATACGTTGTGCTGCAAGCCCTTCGGAACCGGTTCACAACAGCCAGTGCTTTGAGACTGCAACTCCGACAAGCAACACACACCAACGTAAGCGTATCGACCATCAGGAACCGCCTCAGAGCTGCTCATTTAAGGTCACGTCGTCCAGCTGTACGTCCTCATCTTTGTCCTCATCACCGAGCTGCAAAACTTGCCTGGGCCAGGGCACATTTGAGATGGGATAATCAACAATGGTCCAGAGTTCTCTTCACTGACGAGTCCCGTTTCTGTCTTGAGCATAATGATGGAAGGGTAAGGGTTATGAGACGTCCTGGAGAACGTTATGATGATGCCACTGTACGAGAAAGAAACAGGTTTGGCGGTGGCTCTGTGATGGTATGGGGAGGCTTCAGTTTGCATCACCGAACACCTCTCTATCTTGTTCAAGGCAATTTGAATGGAGTGAGGTATCGTGACAAGATTTTGCAACCTCTTGTCCTACCACAGTTGGACAACATTGGTCCAGGAGTAATCCTGCAAGATGACAATGCCAGACCACATCAGGCTAGAGTCGTTAGAGACTTCCTGCAACAGAACAATGTGACTGTGATGCAGTGGCAAGCATATTCACCGGATTTGGCTCCAATTGAGCATCTTTGGGATGTTCTGGGATGACGTGTCAGGGACAATCATGGAGTTGCACCAGCTCTTCAGGTTCTGGTTCAGTGGCTCCAAATGGAATGGCAGGCGATTCCACAGGCTACCCTTCGCACCCTTGCAAGATCCATGAGGCGAAGATGCACCGAATGCATCAATCAACGTGGAGGACACACTCGCTATTGACATTGTGATTTCCATTTTTGACCCCCACTTTCTTATTCGACCTGTTCGTGTGTGCTTTTCAATGACAGCTACCTGTAAATGTTTTTGTTTTGAAGCTTGATAATCTGCTAATGCACAATTGTAATGATACGATCACATGTCATTAAATGTTCCTTTTTATAACAGAATGTTTGGGTGTTCCCATAATTTTTGTGTGTAGTATATTTTCCAATATGGCTTCTGACATTTCCAATCAAGATGACGCCAAGAAATTATCACCCACCACATTGTCTGTCCCTTTGTTTGGGAGAAGATGATTTCTATTTATACATTTACAAATAAAAGATGCACATCAAGCAGCCATATTGAAACTGTACCCCCTCACACCAACAAACATCCTCACACAAAATTTTAGCTGAATCAATGAAAATAGTTTAGATATGAAGTCTTAATTGTAATTGACGGATGACTTGCAATTAAAAACAGGTTATTTGTAAAAACCTGTTCTTTGTAATCTGAAATGCTATTACATAACTGATGATCAAAAAGTAGTTAAGTCAGCTGCAGGTTACTTTTTGAAAGACAACTGACTGACCTTCTGTTTCTTCCTCTCTATCTCCCATTCACTAATTGTCTCTGTGTTCACATCCTCATCAGATGACTGACTATGCTGATGAGTAACAACAGGCTGTTTTGGAACAGCAGCAGTGCTGGATGGCAGCAATTCAGGCTGTGTGAAACAAAAAGAAACATAAATCCCAAATTATACCTTTCTACATGTATTCCAGTGTATGTCAGTGTAGAAAGTTCTGAACTCAATTTCAACAACATCAGCATGACGGGAGAAAACAGGGAGAAAAATATGATTTCAAATGTTATCTTCATACAGAAGTAGTAGTTTCAGGTCACCCAATCAACTATAGTGACAGAGTTTATTGTGCTGACTTGCATCCCTTGGTCAAGATCCAATGATTTGTATCCTTGCTTTGTCAGTACCATACCCTGGCTCATGGGTGTCCCCAAAGTGGTAAATGTGCTTTCCTCCCACATTCGGTGATACCCTGTACTATAATTGACATACTGTTCAAATCATTGTTTCACCAAACTCACTCACCTGGTAATATAGAAATTGTTTAATACCAAAAATAAGGCCATAAGCATATAAACATAACAATATGTTTGGGGGAATCAGGATGCAGGTGTAACTGGACTGAAAAACATGTCGTCTCAGCTCCAGCCAACATTTGAATCAAAGTTAAAGTATCCCCACATCACATGTTTTCGAGAGCCTAACGTCTTTTCAAGCTGCTATACAATATGTGACCGCATGCTTAATGATGTTATCAAGTTGACGCTTCAAAGCCCACTGAATACATCAAGGTGTTTGCCACTTGCCGCTGAAGTTGTGTTGCAAATTAAGCTACACTAGGTAAGATATTCAATAAGTTATGAAAACATACCTCAAAACTTACTTTCACTAATGCATATTTTAATCAAACTTGATCTGATGATAATTTTGCATCAGAACTATCATATGCGCCGATGATTTTTTGGCTGCTGTTTGTAAACTTCCTGTGTGTGATGTCATGTGACTGGTCAGGTGACTAATCATGTTGTGCATCCATTGTCAACTTGACTAATGGAAGGGCTGAAAATCTCTCGTCTCGCTCAGCGAGGCCATATCATCATAAAATTTACAAGACATGGTCATTTGACTATCCAAATGTTAACAGAAATCAAACAATAGTTATCATTGGTAACAAGAAAGAAGTGAGCAAAGCTCACATACCCCCGTTATCCCCTCTGGTCAACAACAAATAGTAAAGAGTTTGTTAATTAATGAAATATTACATATTTCTAACTGATTTTAACTTCAATGGTTTAAAAACTAAGCTTGAGTTCCAGTGACAACCAACCCTAAAAGTTTAAGTTTCTTAATGTGTCCATGGAAACAGCAAAAGTTAAAAAATTCAGAATCTTCAAACTAGCAAAAGGCACAAGTACTCATTGTGGTAAATGTGTGTAGCAAGTTTGGTAAAGCTAGTGTGCATGGTTAAAAAGTTATGGGCCGTACAAAAGCTCGTACAGATGGACGGACGGACGGACGGACGAACGGAACGCTATATACCCCCGATTTACCTCGTAAACGGGGGTATAATAATTCTAAGAATACTACCTCTATTACATCTTTGTCATAAATCTGGTATTTTGGCTTCAGTCACACTAACTAAAATTTTCAGATTTTCAACAGACATTCTCTTTACTGTCAATCACACACAATAGGTGTTCCCAATATTGCACTATAGCAACCCAAGCTATGACGTGTGTAATGGCGGGAACCTCACTTCTTTCCCACATCTAACCACTACAGGTAGATGAATTTGGGAGGTGGATGGGAGTACTTCTTATGTAATAGTGGTAGTATTTTTAGAATTATCAACAATGATAACTATTGGTGGATAATTTTTGCAAATCCTCTACCTCTATTACATCTTTACCAAGGAAGAATCTACCTCTAGGAACTCCCTGTGTAATTGACAGTAATCCTCTTCTGAAAACCATTTATTCAGTGATTCTAATCCTGACTCGAGATAACTTCTTCTGAAATTCCTCCTGAGGACTTGTAAATCAGAATGCAGAATATGTGATACCTTCACTAGAATTACCATCGTATTTGCTGATCTTGTTAGCAATAATGATGTTATTTCTGGTCTATTTCTACCCAATGGCGTCATTTCTTGTTAAATTTGGATCTGTGACACTAATACCGGTGCTGACATCACTTCCGGTTTCTCACTTCCCTTTTGTTGGATAATGACGTCTTTTATGGTCTATTTCTACCAAAAGACATCACTTCTGGTGACTGGAGGCAGTTGATAGTCAAAGTGCTCCTAAACCATCCTACACCTAAAAGACAGGATAATCAAGGGTGTATTCACCCTCTGATGCTGCTGGTGTCGGATTCTCACCCCTTCCCCCCTTTTTAGGGGGGAAACTATTGTTGGATGATACATAAGCCTTAGTAGTATAGACAATGACAGTTCTACCGAAACCCCACTGGAGCCAGATTTATATACCTATGCAGCTACTATAGAGGGAATTTTTAAAGTCAAAAGTCAAAAAAGACTTTTCGGGTACACTAGATAGAGAAGCTCTTGTCAAATATCTCTGCAAAGAACATGGTTTCAAAGAACAAGGCGACCTCGCAGCAGCTATGCAAGAAAATACTCAAACTATTCTTGCAATAACAAATAGCGTTGGAAAACACGTTTTTACATGGGTACACACCTACAATGGCTATACATCAAAAACTAAGTTGTACAACAAAGTCGTGTCCAATTTCGAAGCAGTAGAATTACCAGAACAACTTGGCGGACATCTTGCAGACTATGTAGACTGTCCAAACAAACATTTGGGCAAGACATTTCTACACCCACAAGTACAAGCTAGAGGCTGCACACGTATAGAAGTTTCTTTGTATGCTTGCAACGACGAATTGCGAGATACAGAAACAGCAGACTATTTGGTAGAAGATGCTCTACGAATAGTTTCCACAACGCCTTTGTTTGTAGTACAACCACCCGCAAAACAATGGGAAAATCTTGCTAGTTGCCTAGATCGTTGCTTTGGGCTAGCAGATCGCCCACAAGGAACTATATTTGTAGCTTGGTATGCGCATACAACGACTGGAAGAATAGCTGGAGTTTGAATGTCTGTAGAAGACGACAGAAAATGGAATAGGGCTATACGATGGGCTACAACAGATTTTGGTTTCCGAAACTGTCTAATATTCCAGGTAGAAATTCTATCCGCAAACAAAGAAGGTGTAGAACTACGTCCTCTATGTTGCTATACAAAAGCAAAAGATACAAACATTATCTTGTGTGCAAGCAAAAAGCCAACACAACTACACAAAAACGTGGTGTCTCCATGCGTTCTATTGCCACCCACAGAAAAAATAGAGTGGGAATGGAGAACAGCAAAATGCCAAGTTATAGGTACAGATGTGTCCAAATACAATCTGCAAGAAGTACCAGAAATAGCAAAAGGAAGACAAGTATACACCATGTCTACGAAAGATAGAGGAAAATATCTACAAGACATACAAGAAGGTCTACATGCAGAAGAATGGAAAAGACAAGCATGGAACTATCTAGAAGAAATACAAAAGCAAAAAGAAGCTTGTAGAGCACAAAAAGAAAAAGAACTAGATTTTCTATCTTCCCTGTTGTGCAAAAAACAGGAATATACACTACATTTCTTATGCTACACGATCCTTGGTAGAAGATGTACTACGAATTTCGCAAACAAAGAAAATAGCAGAAACAGCCGACGAAAACACTGTTTGGGCTATCCTAGGATATTAAAACCAAAAAGATTGGTCCTCCTACAGAGTTGTAGTTGTGCCAAAAGAAAGAGAAGCTGTTGCAGTTTGGTCGAACAAGCAACTTGCAAAAGTGCTAGACAACTGCCACGACTTTGTAGAAAGCCGTGTAGACAAATTTGAAGGAGAAACTTGCTGGATTCCAAGAAACATTTGGCTTGTAGAAGAAATGGGAATACAACAGAAAACAACCCAGAGAAAGACGATAGCGAACGAGTAGCGCTGTATATATACGTACAACATGCACAACAATTCTATTCTGGTGGGGAAACAATCTCCTGGAATCCTATTTCTGTAGAAGAAGCACCAGACCCACAAAAGCTAGCAACTTTGCAAGAAGCAGCTCTAGAAAAAGAATACGAGAAAGTGGAAAGCAAAGCTACATACGAACTAATTCTAGTAGACGCCCCACCAACAAAGAAGACAACAAAAGCTCTAGACATGCCTCCATGAGAGTACATTTGTGGAAAATATGCCACTACAACGTACAGAGGAAACACAAGAACATTCCTATTCCTATTGCCAGTTGGAGAAGATGGAGAATCTACTACAGATGCAGAAATCCCAGTACACGGCTATTTCCTGGAGAAAGAAATCGAAGGAGGCCTACATCGTGCAACCGATCCGATTTGGTCCCTTAAGACATATAACATTAGTCGATTTGTTATGAAAGAAGGAGAGCCTATTCTTTATTATCTAAGGCATTTGTATAAGAAGAGTTGCTCATAGTTCCAGACGATACAGTATTAACGCCCTAAATAACCATAAGCATAGGTAGTTACACCATCCTTATCAATCCATCTCTTTGTATCTAAGGGGGATAATGATGTCTTGTTCATTCTTAATCCATATATCCTGTGATTGACACTTCTTAAAGTGTTCATCTTGTGTTTGAATGTTCTACCGTTGAATAATGCTTCTTTATAGTGTTTGTGTTTGATATGCTTTTTCACCACATACTTCTTGACGCCTTTAGCTTTTCTTATCTCTCCATTATCAGACTTCTTTATAGAATACATCTTAGGTCTTAATCCAACATACACCGCTATAGGAGTCCCAGCACATTCATCCTTCATCTTGCCTAACACCTTTTTATTTACTACGCTGTGCAGTGGATTATCTTTAGGGTAATCGCTCGTGTCCTACATATCTATTTTTTCTGCCATATCTTTATACACATCCTCGGCTTGTATTTCCATCAACAAAGAATCTGTGTCGGTATATAACACCTCGCATCTATCACCGTATTGCTTCTTGAGTTCGTTGTAATAAAAGTCATACATTAAGTGTTTTGACAAGTCAAGAATACTCATACCAACGTACACCGGTCTGTTGAATTTTATATT